GGTGGCGTGGTGGCCAAGAAGAGATAACGGGGCAGAGCATAGGGGCAGGGCTGGCACTGAGCATCTTCCTACCCAACCCCATCCTGTGGAGCGCTGGGCTCAGTGCTGGGAAGCAGCTGGGACATGCATAGAGAGCAGAGCACATCTGGGGGGTGGGGACCAGTTCCTCTTCACCTTCCATTCTGGGGCTGTCCTTGCTGACCATCCAACCTGGTATCCTGCTTTATTTTCTTCTTTCTCCTTTGTAAGGAGGCTCAAACAGAAATGAGAAGAAAACAGATCCGCTTTTTTTTTTTTAAGAGCAAGAGCTGTTGATTCAGATGTACCAGTTGCCAATTTACATAGTCTGACTTTATATCTGACTTTCCTGAATTCACTGAATATAAAAAGGCAAAGAAACATTTTTTGGGCCCATTTTTTGCTTAGTCTAGTTGATTTGGTCCAGCTGAACTCACAGAAATAATTACCTGCCCTGAGGTAGTGGTTAACAGCGCAGGTTTCTGAATCCCATCACTGTTTGTCAGCTCTGTGACCTTGGGTAAGTTACAAAATGTCTCTGAGGATGTGTCTTTACCTGTAAAATGGGAATTAAATGAGGTAATGTGTGCAAAGCGCTTAACACAGGGCCCAGCATATAACAAGCAGTAGGCAGGGATCGTTCTTAAAGCTTTTAGGATTTGGGAGCTGAAGAGGAGACTTTATTCATCTAGGCCAAGTTCTAGTTGTGACTGAAGATATTGAGACCCTCAGAGGTGAAGTGATGGGACCATTTGGGACCAGAAGCCATGGCTCGTGTTTTGCCCACCTCTGTCCCCCTCCCCCTCCCCATCCTACAAACCCCCCAGTTCATGCAGAGCTCTCAGGCACACACCATCAGATCTTGGCTTTGGAAGGCACCAACCCAGGCACCATGACCCCTCCTGGATTCTTTTTACTGTCCCTCCAGCTCTGCCCTGAGAATTCAGCTGGAGGGAGAGGGGGCTGACTCCGGGGAGGAGCAGCATGCTGAGGGTGGCTCTGCCAGTTGTTCCATCCTGGATCCAGCTGGGGTGGGTGGTGACCGCAGGTGGGCCTTAGCATGTTTGGGGGAAGGTACCCCTTCCTCCGCTCAACCTCTGCAGCTGCTGGCCCAGGAGAGGGGCTCAGGAATGTTTTCTTGATCATCGTCCTCTTTTGAGAAGAAGCATCCCTATTCCCTGAGACATCCCAAGAAAGGCTTGAGCTCTGAGAATCAAGGATCCAAATAGGGTTGTTTCTGTTTCTAAGTGGGGAATAACATGTTGGGGGGCGAGCACTAGACCCAGGAAAGACAAAAAGAGTGTGTCAGACCCCTCCACAACCACACCGGCCCTTGATAACTCCTTTTAACCGAAGCTGAATCAATTGTGGACATCTTGAGCACAAACGGAGGAACTCTGAAGCCCAGAAAATGAAGACAGCCTTGGGAACCATAATGAGAGGAAGCCATTTGTAAACCTGGGCTTAGGGCATCTGGGATGTAAGTCTTTGCCTCCTAGGACAGGACCGGGCTGGGGCAGTGATCACTGAGGCCCCACGCACACCCATCCCAATTCTGTGAACCAGACGGGCGATAGAGCGAGGGGAAAGGAATAGAACTGAATTACTAGTACTGCGTGAGACCTCTGCGGAGAAGCAAAGTACAGGGAAAGTAGTGGAAGTCCTCAGGCAAAAAAAAAAAAAAAGCAAATTCCTAGAAGCCAGAGGGTCAGTTCAAAGAAGAAATGCCCTTCTAACTCCACAGTACCCTTCTGCTTCCTACCCCGCGTCATCACTGTGAGTAACACTAAGCGAGAAGCAGGCTGGGGGCAGGGGCGCTGAGGCCCTCTCCGTTCCAGAGCCTCGACTCTGAAATCAGTCCCATCAGTTCCCTAACCCTTTCTATTCTCAGCTAGGGCAGGCTGCTGGAGAAACAGAAACCTGGAGCCTGTGGGTGGGTCTCATTATTTTTAGGTTGATCCCTATGAAATTGTTTTTATATGACCACTTTAGCCTACAAAAACAGCTCTTTCACATCAACTCACTATCATTTAAAGGAATCATAATAGCTACCATTAATCGACCAACTAGATCATGCCAGAAGCTTTCTGCATATCACATTGTTTATTCTTCCCCACAACCAAGAGGTAGATATTATTATCTGATTTCAGATGAAGGAACTGAGTTAGGAAAAGATTAGAAAAATTGCCCAAGACCCACTCAATTAGCAAGTGGTGGAGCTTGGTTCCTTTCCTTGACCGCCTTTGCTTACCTGCAGTGTAGGGGTTAAAAATATACTCTGGACTCTGACATACAAAGGACTGACTCTTTGGTCCACTGATAACTACCTGTACGACCTCAGGTATGGTTTCAACACTCTAATCAGTTTTATCAGGGGTAAACTGGGATAACGATAAAAGGTACGTCATAGAGTTGTTGCCAAGACTAAATAAAATAACATCTGTAAAACTCCGTGATGCTGTGCCAGGAACAAGGGCAGTGCTTAAATGGTAGCTATTGTCATAATTCTTTTCTTTCTCTTGAGCACATCATGGAAAGGTCTTCTTGCTCCCGCTATTTTCCTTTTGTCCTTTTTTGGAGTGAAGCCTTTTCTCTGTAGCTTCTTCCAGACCATCTCCTCTCTTCTGTGTTTGAGTACATCCTGAGGAGCAGTGCAAAATGGAGAGGCAATGGGAAAACAGTCTCTGGCCTCTAGCCCTGGGTGGAGGGAGGCTGCGTCGCTGAGGGGTAAGCCCCATCTTCACCCTAACTCCAGCTTTGAGCTCTGGTGTGATTTTACTCAGCGGAGGGACTGGCCTGCTGATTCTTCTGAACCCTCTCCCAGGGAATCCTGGACTCAGAAGGGACCCTTCTGAGCTGGAGGCACCCTGTGAGGACGGGGGAAAGGCAGCCACATCCAGGAGTCCCTGCTGTGGTTTACTGTGCTCCTCCAAACCCACCCTCCAGTCAGCTGGGCAGCTCCCCTAACTCGGCTGCTGGCAAGGGGCCTTCGCTCACTCAGGGCTACCGGCTGTCTTGTATCCCATCTACCGTGCACTGTTGGGAACACAACTGTGTCCACCTGACCCTGAACCTTCCTTTTTGCCTGCCGCTGCCCAGAAGAGAGAGACACACACACACACACAGACACACACACACAGACACACACACACACACACACACACACACACACACACACACCCACACACGGGCCCTGCCTTAGCCCTTCTCTGCACTTCCCACTCCCGCGTCGCTCTCGTCTCAGTCTCAATCCCCCAACACCCTCCTCCTACCCCACCCTCGGGGGGCCTCGGCCCGGTCACCCCAC